CAGGGGGTGGTGGGGAGCATCTCTGGACTGTGTATGAGATGGGGAGGTCTCTGGTTTGGGTATAGAGGTGTGGGGTCCTTGGGACTTCTCTGGGCTGTGTATGGAGGTGGGGATCATGGGTGGGGGGGTCCCCAGGTTGTGCCTGCAGTTTTGTGGGGCCTAGGTTACATATGGGTTCGTGGCGGGGGGTACTCAGCTCTACAGGGCTGTGGTGGGTGTCCCTGGTTGGTCCATGCAGGCAGGCACAGCTTGCGGGGGAAGGGCCCAGGCCTGGTACTGACCCCCCCACCCCACTCTGCAGGTGGCAGCAGCAGCAGTGGCAGTGCAGGATGCGAGCCCCCCGGCACCGGGCCTCCCGCCTCACTGGCCGCCTCCCTCCTCACTGAGCCCGCCATGACGAGCCAGCACAGCCATGCCACCTTCTCCAGCATCCAATCCATGGCCGAGCATCCGCAGGTACCTGCCTGGACCTCTGTGCCCCCGTGGGGGGGGTGGTTAAGGGCATCACCTTCAGCCTGAGTCCCATCCCAATCAGAGGGTGCCATCGACGTCAGGCCTGGGAGAGGAGCAGGCCGAGGGCATCCTCGGGGAGTGGGGGCAGGGGCTGGCACAGCCCTCAACCCCTGCCCCCACTCCTAGATAACCCTTCCCCCCTCGCCCCAGATTCTGCCGGACCTGAGCATCCTACAGCGGCGAATCCCCTTGACCTTCCGGGACTCAGCCAGCGCCCCGCTGCGGAAGCTCTCGGTGGACCTCATCAAGACCTACAAGCACATCAGGGGGCCCCCCCCCCCCCCCCCAACCTTGGGGGAGGGGATATTGGGTTGACCTCACTCCCCATGGTCATGAGTGGGGGGACTTTGGGGGTTGATCCCACTCCAGGGGTTGTTGCTGGGGATGGGGGGTCAGTTATAGGTTGACCCCACCCTGGAGACGGATGAGGGCAGGGGGTGGGTATAAGTTGCTTCCAACTCCCAGGGATCACTGCTGGGGTGTTATGGGTGGACCCCAGCTCTGTGGCCATCAGTGCTGTATATGGGGGGGGTGGCGGCGGCAGGTACTAATTACTCCGCACCCCCATAGGTCTACTATGCCAAGAAGAAGCGGCGGGCGCAGCAGGTGCCGCCCGAGGACTCAAGCACCAAGAAGGAGAGGAAGGTTTATAACGAGGGCTACGATGATGACAACTATGACTACATTGTCAAGAGCGGCGAGCGCTGGCTGGACCGCTATGAGATTGACTCGCTCATCGGCAAGGGCTCCTTCGGCCAGGTTGGGACCCCTGGGACTTCCCACAACATGCCCCTCACCCCCTGACCACCCCTCAGCTACAAGATTGACTTGTTCATTGGCCAGTTGG